TCTTATGCATATCGAGGCTGTGTACAATTATAACTTCAAAAGATTTCTTTCAAGGTCTTTCAACTAAGACATGCTAATTATTAATATTAATTCAAGAGATCTGTATTTTCTTTAAAACAGAAAACACAAAATAATTTCATTGAACACAAATAATGTGAGTGTAGCATGGCTGGCCGTACAGCTGGTTCGAACAGTATTTAATGTTGTGCCATTACAAAAGATTTCAGAAGTACCTGTAATCTCTTTCCACCTCTTGGGAGGTTGTGGCTGTTTGTATAATCTCGTTATTTCAATCACATCTTTGTGAATAAAACCAAAGCAAGGTAAGATAACAGTGATTTTTTTTTAACTAGAACTAGAGAATTTGTTTATTATAGTGTATATAATTTTACTTGCCAAGAATGGAAACTGCAGAATTTAATTAGACCTCTCAATTTTAAAAGGACTCTGATTTCTGAGTTAGGAGGCATAAAATAAAAAATCACATAAAACATATACCACAGTCTATTGTCCTGAGTGACTTAAGTTTCCATATCCATGTTCTTGGCATTCGTTTTATTTAACTATCAACTTCTCTTTCAGTTTTCAGGCTTTTTGCGATTTTTATTTCTACAACTAAAACGTGCTCCAAAACTAGATTTCTTGAAGGAAGAAACTCAAAAATCTTTATAAACATTCATCCATTTAACTTTGTACTGAGTTTTCAGATTGGAGGTCTCCTTAATACAGGTCCTGCGAAAAGTAAGAGGGTGTGCACTAATCCAGAAAGCCTTCCCAGCGATAACCTGTGGAAAACTGTAGATCTAAGTCAGATCTTCGCGTTCCCGAGGCCAGGGACACGGGGAAGGGACGGCTGGAAGAGCAGCAGGGGTTGTGTCTGGTAAGGCTGTGCTGGCCGATGTCCCTCTCTGCCTCCAGCAGTGACTCCTACAGAAAAGACATTTAAAAAATCCAGTCTTTGTGCATTACATTTCCCATTTGGATTAAATGTTTATCTTGGGGGAAAAATATAGTTAAAATTCCCTCATTATGAAAAGATATATAGGAATAATATAGTTTGAGGTTTCATTTTTTTCTATCATCTGACTAAAATATGCCCCTAAATATCTGCACCCATTGCACCCAGTGGACAATCAAAGACCTTACTGGACTACTATAGGAGTGAAAATTCTTTTAGCAGCTGGATTAAGGATTTAGAGAGGGAATTTTAAGAGCCCAGAAGAGCTCTGGCAGCTTCCCACCCCTCGGCCCCGGACGGCGAGAGGGGCTCTGTGCAGCCGGTACTCCTGGCTTCCCTCATCTCGCCTGTCCTGCCCTGCGCTAGGGCCCTGCTGCATCCTGCAGCTCAGCCAGAGCGCAGGGTAAATTCCTCCCAGCGCATACCCCGGGATGGGGCTCTCACAGCCCTGCATTGTTTTCTGGAGCCTGGTTTATCTCAGGAGAGCCTCTG